GCATAAAAGGTGGACTTTAAATTAGCTGACCTAAGGAGACCTTGAGCTGAGCTATTTTACTTTTGTTAGTGTTTATATGCCTCACAGCARTTTTTTCCTCCTTGCCCTACTCCTGCTTTCTCAATTTTGTAAATTCTGACAATGTACAAGATTTGTAATCCCCTTGTGGCAATGTAGGCACATGCAGTATTTGAAGAAGCAGCAATGTGAAACCTTCTATTAGGTAGGTAATGCCAACTATTAAAATCTTTTATTCTTTTAAAAAAGAAAATGGCAGTCTGCACGTGAGTGGAAGATCCAATTGCCTAATTAACTTCAAATCCTGTCACATATTGCATTTTGTGGGTATCTTATTTTCTGGGGAAACTCTCATTTCTAAACTTTTTCAAAAGAAGTGTATAAGTGAAGTCCAAGCAGAAATTATTTGTGTTTAAGATTGTATAAGTGTAAAGAGAGACTTTGTCTGGAAGTCTGAATGGGTTTTGATGAAAATATTGAAGTTAGATTAATGCTCATTTATGACCAATCTGGATGTCCCATATCCTGATCATAAATACTATTGTTGCATGCTTCCACTAAATGATTAGTTGGAGCTTTTTAAATGTATTAAGTTAGTTGGATAATTATAAGTTCTGTACTTAGGTTTGTACTCTATACTTATAGTTAAATTCTGGGAAAGCATGTTTCATTTAAAAGTTTTTTTTTATTCGTTCCTGTCTGTCTTCTAAAATACTCATATCTAAAGATATTATTAGTGACAGGAATGAGCAATAAATAAAATGGAATACCAGATTTTTCTATAAATCATTCAGACATCAAATAGTATCATTTTTTGGCTTGTATCCTTTGAATTATCATACCATTCCATCATATCTCAAATCTGTCTACCTACAGAATTGATATAGAATAGATTGTCAAACTCCATGGGAACAGATAATCAATAAATGATCATGATACAAAATATATCTCAGTAATGTAACATCAATATTTCAACAAAATAATAACAGAATGACATTATTTATAGCTTTATTTTTACTTTGATTTTTAAGCTTAAGAACTATTTAAGTATACATTTGCATAATACCCATGATATAATTTTACTGGATTACTACAACAAAACATCAGAGAAGATATTCTTTTTGCATCCATCTTATATTTGGAAAAGCAAATAGGTTAAGGGAATAAACAAAGTTTATAGAGCTAGTTATTGAATAGTCGGAAAAAGAACTGGACCATTCTAATGTGCTAACTATGCTTTTTCTCTTTGGCATATTATTCATGTAATCATTAAGAATATACTATTACGTAATTACAGTTGGAAACATTACAAAGGGAAACAACTTTCACAAAATCACTATTGTAGATAATGGACCAAGCTCAGAGGAATTTAACTTTCAGAGCTATGTCACTTGTATATGGCTATGGGTAAATGAAAGAAAGATTAATAGGGGGATKAGAGCAAGGGGTAGGGCGAGGGRAGGGGAAGGAGAGGTACTGGGGTCTGAATTAGAACAAGATGTATTCCATGCTTATATAATTATGTCAAAATAAATTATACTGTTATATATACCTCAAAACAACCAATAAACATTAGTAAGAAATGTTTTGTATTTGTTTAGAAGTATTTGAAATTGTTGGTATTTCCCTRATTTTGACAGGGGATAAATTTTTTGCATGTAAAAGTTACTACAATTTTTTAAAATATATTGACTTTACAAATTTTTGCCATTAATTGCTATCTAAACTTGGTGGGAACACTTCTGCATATTGAGTCTCTGTCAACTTTTACTATGAAATGATGAATCTGATTTTTAATGAGTATCGATAACTAATCTTTTTATACTGAATGTCATATAAATAAAATTATAAATCACAAAATAATGCTTTATCTAATTGATTTTTATTTTAGCAAATTGAAAAATCATGGTGTACATAAGAAGTTCTTCACTATTTAGAAACTGGATATCTGTATGTGTGGAATGAATGTAGAGATGGATGGGAAGTATGAGATGGATATAAAGATGGATGGAGAGAGAGAGTTATTGAATAAGCCACACAGGAAGGGATGAACATGGGGGGGTCATAAGAAAGTACCCCTTTAGATTTATATGAAGCATGGAAAAATAATATGAATATTTTTATAAAATCAGTTTTCCAAGTTAAAGGGAAAGTGCATCGTAAGGACTTTTATTTGACAATCCTTAAAACATGTGTCTCTATAAATACAAAAATCAACTCATAATACATAATAAAAGTTCTGTCAATCAATAATATGTGTATATGTGAGTATGTGTGTGTGTGTGTATTTTTTTTACATATATTTTCTTATGTGTAACAACGAGTTTTCAGTATTGCACTTCCTCCACTGACTTGACCAGGTTGGCTAAGCTGATTAGTGGCTTTAAAGTGCTGTGACTTTTCTCCAGCCAGGATCTAGAGTCAAGCCCTTCAGCTAAGTCCTTTTTCCTAGACTTTCCTGATGGACAGACATCATTGTCAGGAATTCAGCAGCTGTGACTTCATAGAATGTTGTTTGATATGGGAGAATATATTGCTTATGGTGAACACATTCTCTGACAAGTATCCAAAGCAAATCTAGGTGTCCATAAACCCACTAAAGGTGTTTTTCTGTAAGCTTTCTTTGTTGTAACAATTTTAGAGATATCCAAAAATGTTCCTTCCCTCTTTGGCTATAATTATTTCCCTATCTGTCCTCCTTCCTCTTGTGCCTTTACTTACCCACTCTAATAATACCATATTAAATGTTTTCATTCAGTTAGAATTGGGCATAACTAATTGTCATATGCTTTTTATGGTCTAATGTGATTTTGAATTTTTAAAATTCTCAAAATGAAACAAGTTTGAACATATCTTAGATAATGAAAGAAAATGTAATCATCYTATATAAAAAAATCTTTGAGAAAGGTTTGAACAGGAAGAGATGAAAACAGTTGAATGGGGGAAAAAGTGGAAGGTATTAAGCTTTAGTAAATATAGATGCAATAAAATAGAAATTTAGAAATTTGAATAAAGGAATGAAATTGCACTGTGGACATGAAGTGTGTTAAAAGTAACAAGTAAATACAGTTTCTTTGTGACTCACATGTGACATTATTTCAGTGAATACTTAAAAGCTGTACCTGACTTCTTTGATTTTTTAAAACTATTCCTTTATATAACCTATTTATTTACTCTTGAAGTTGTCACTGATTTTGTTCATACYCTAATGTGTCAATAAGGCAGTACAGGCTTTTTCTAGACCCAAATTTTTGTGTGGTCCACTAAAAGATAATCAACTCTTGAAGTAGGATCTAAATAATATGAAAAATTGTTGTTTCCTTTATATTGTGTATTCCTGATAATCTTTAATGTTTGAATAATATATTCATCTTACAGATTTCCATAGAAATACATTGGCCTTTACCAAACTATTTCATATAACTCAGATAACCCACAATTTCACTTGTTCCACATGATATTAATAAATATTCCAAAAAGCAGCATTCCTTGGTTTGCAGAGCATTGCAGGTGCTATATATTTTCCTTGTAGAGTTTTATAGACTTCATTTGCATATGAGTAGCTCTGAGAGACCTTACAGTAAAATAATAATACCGACGATGCTGTTAAACAAAATCTATTTTTTAAACAGTTTGAGAAATGCCAAAATATGTATAATGCATTATGTGGTTGAATGTATTAATGGATAATGTTATACAGTTACAWCAACCAGATACCACAAGCAGAGTGTCTTCTTGCTTCTACTGTTTATATGACAAAGAATTATATGGTCTTGTCCTAAATTTGACAACTACACACTGGAAACTAGATTATTATCAAACTCTTTTYCACCACTTCTCCCACATAAATGAAACTTTTCTGTTTTATTGTTGTTTGTTTTGTTTTGTTTTTGGTTGGTTACCAGGGATTGAACTCAGGGGCACTCAGCCACTGATCCATATCCCCAGCCCTGTTTTGTATTTTATTTAGAGACAGGGTCTCACTGAGTTGCTTAGTGCCTCACTTTTGCTGAGGCTGGCTTTGAACTCGTGATCCTCCTGCCTAAGGCTCCTGAGCTGCTGGGATTACAAGCATGAGTCACCACACCCAGTTTTTTCTATATTTTTAATCCCTTTGTTTCCATTTTGTTTTCCCCTCTTAAGCTTTTTAATCCATGACAGTAAGACCTCTCTGACGTTGGATCTATCCCATCATTATTTAGGAAAAAGTTTTACTAGTGCCTGCTTTCCTGCCTCACCGTCCAGCTCTGCCCTATTCACAGGAACTTTGTTTGATATGACAAAGTAGCCTTCTGAATTTTTTCTTCAAGAAGCCCATCTGTCTATCTTGTTTTCAATCCAATCTACTCCTAGATTTCCCACATATGACAGGAAATACTAATGTGTGTCATATTGTCAAATGACATTCCTCTCATGAGACACAGGGATATTTTAATATAGAATAATACTTGCATTGCAAAAGACTAGGTCTCGTATAGTATAATTCTAATCCCCAGATGTAGGCTCTTTGATTTAGTTCCACAAGTTCATATTGAATGCTCTGGTAGACCATAGGGTTTGATACCTTTTGGTCTCCTGGTCTTCTGGGTTCTATACATTGAGTTTTTAGGAGTGACTRATGACAAGGAATAAAGAAGTACAAATATCTTTAATTTAAGACCCTGTACTAGCAGGAAGAAAGTAATTTCTTTGCATTAATTCACATGGAATTAATCTGTTTTCTTTTGTTTTGTTTTGGGTATATAAGTGGTGACTTTTGTGGCTGTGCATACAATGTCTTTCAGGTCTGTTATCTGGCAGTAGACATGGTTTCCAACTACTGGCGATTTTGATTTATCCACCACTTTTTTACATTCCACCTGTACTCCTGGATCATTCTACCTTCTGTCTCCAGAGCAATCCAAGGGGATACTGTCAATACATTTGGTTGGTCTCAAAGATTGTTACCTAAACAGTAAGCCAGTGCCTATCTTTGCTCACAGGGGTGCGTCTTGACAGAGTACGTGGAGGTCGGCAGAAGTACAAGCGCAGAATAGATGCAGAAAACAGCCCATACCTGAACCCTCAGCTGGTTCAGCCAGCCAAAAAGCCATGTAAGTACCACAGATGTGTCTGGCTTCCCACAGCACGAAATCCTCCCAGTTGGCTCTATGTATATCCATGTTGGCATGCCCAGCTCTACTGACTCCAAGGAGATTTCTCTTTGTTGGAGAACAGTGGTTCTCTTCCCATGAACTGTCTGTGAGGAGCAATAGCAACTCAACTAATTATCTTTTATTTTTTTCTCTTAAAGATGTCTTTAGGGTTTTTTTTTTCCCCTTACCTTGTACCTAGTCATTTGTRGAAGCATAAGCATAATAATGCAGAGCTTATATAGTATGAATTTTACATTTACTGGTTATCTTTATTTGCGGAGCTACATAAAATGGATCATACTGTGATCATTAGTTCATTGGAGCTGTTAGTTTCGGATTTCACAAGAAAGTGATTTTTGTAGTTTTCACTAACTAAATGAGTTTGGCTGCTCAACCTCCCAATGAAAATACATTAGGGGCCTCATTAATTTGGAGCTATAGAAGGTTAACACTCTAGATAGCAATGGATTAAAACAAGAATGAACCCTACTAATAACAAGCATAGGTTGGTGGTTCCATCTCAAATGCCCTTATGGGCATTATGAATTGTTTTTCAAGAGCTCATGGTTTTATGATGCCAGGTTGCAATTTGATAGGATGATGGGTACATTGCTAAAATGCAAACCCCATTCTCCTTGTCATTAACTAAAAAGAGTTGGAATATAGATTGAAGCAATAACTGCATCCCATTTTCTGAAAAATCAGTTAATAGCTGTAGTGCAACAGAGCTAGCAATTTAGGGTGTTTATGCATAGAGTTCATACTAGACACTGGGAAGTGCTTTAAAAGAAAGAATTCTCACAGTTAGCCCTCTTTGTCACAGAAGACACAACACACTCTCATCAGAGGAAGTTGCCTCTGCAGCATTCTAGAAAAAGAGTGGGGAATTTTTGATCTGCTTTCAAGGGAGGAGAAAGTATCCACTTCGAATTCAGATTCTCCAGGAGGGGTCACTGCTGTGCATCATCCATGCGAGCATATGGGAATCTGTTAAATAAATAAAGCAGACCCTGAACTGTAAATGAAAGGACATTTTAGCTATGTCAAAGGAAAAACAACCAGTTTTACATAAAATTAAAGCTTAAGTGAACATATGGCATAGTTTCCTTTTGCCTTTCCAAAAAACATTATGTTGATTATACCTTCAATTGTCCAATCTGGCATCCTCTCCTCAGCCTGCATAAGCTGTTTGGCATTCTGCAAATACAATCTAGGACTGCATTAAGCAGATTTTGCACATTATAATAAAAAACTTTCTGATAATACAATAAAATGCAATAAACACTAATGCTTAATTTCATTAGAGGTTTAGGTTTAGTTTTCCTTGATTCAATAATACACAGATTGCCCATTTCTCATTTATTTTATGCTAACATTGACTGAAGCCATTGATAATTTCCTTTATGGAAAGAAAAATGAGCACCAGCCCATTTATAAGTCAACACGATAGAGGAATATCTATCGTTTTCTATGTAAACCTGAGAAATTGGGAAGTGGCTTGTCAAGTACCTTTAAGAAGATTACGGCAATTTCAGTGAGCTCCATTTGTCTGAGATAAAAAGGACTCCTAATAAATCATTACTCATTATCTAAGGGCCTCTGTGTTAATTTTCCTCAGTCCATCCAATTAGTGTGTTTTTGTAACAAACATTTATAAAACTTAATTTTCAGATCCTGTCAGATAAGTGTCAAGAGACTGTGCATGGGCTCTGCGGAGAATGTGGTTGGGGAGATTTCCGCACCCTGACTGATGTTTGTCTACTACAAAGGCCCAAGATTGAAAATTGGGTTCTATTGATTCTAATTAGGGAAACATTAAATAAGATTTACCTAGAAACAGTGCTGCCGGCTATTCCATTTTCTGAACGCTGGGAATTTCTGAGCTTTAACGAAATATCTCTGATCCCCTGAGTCAAATATCCATTGACTTGGGTAAAACAGGTTGCATTTTACTTGTGTTAAAAAAAAAATCTAGAATGGTGATTTCCTTCAGTTATATGTTTGTGCCCTTTACTATTGCATTTTCTTCTAATCCTGAGAATCTAGTGGTTGCTGACAGGTTTTGCTGCATTGTCAGAGCAATGAAAGTTGAAACTTTTCCAAGCGAAACCAAAAATACAGGGTGTTATTTCTGTAGCATATATGAGAAACAAATGTCACTCTTTGTAGATCCTACGAATTCAAAAGAATGCATTTCATTTTTAATTTTTCTAGAATGTATGGTATTTGGGAATATTTCCTCCCAAATCCACATATACAGTTTAATGATTATTGACTATTATTGCCAACAATGACTGATTATCTGGTGACTATTTGAAAGACATATGATTCATAGCCATATTAGTAAATTTTAAAAAACATCATGCTAGGAAAAGCCTCAATTGTAGCTTGGATAAATCTTGTTATTTCATGAAAGAAAACTAAAAGGGATGCTGTATTTAATTCTACATTTTGTGCAGTGTTGTCCTTTTAGGTTAAAAAACTTAAAAACTCAGTGAAAGGCAAATGGTCTCATAGATACAGTGGAAACTTTGACTTTGTTCACAAAGAGCCTATTTAATATCCTGGTTTTCCAGRATAATAATACATAGAATATTTAAATATGTAGGTTTATTCTCACCCATTCATATCTGCACACAGAGAAGAAAGTGTAAAATCTAAAGTAACATAGAGAAATTGAAAATGGGTCCAACAAGAAAAATTGTTCTGTTAGCCGGGATTTCCAACCCCTTCCATAAACTCTCATATGCCCCTGAGGAATAAAACACATTTGATGTGAGGCTTTCCATTTGTCTCTAGTGTTTATTTTATGAAGGATTCTTAAAACATATATCACAAATTTCAGACAGATAAATCTGAACCAGAGAATGAACTAAGGACAAGAGATGAAAATGGAGGATTAAAGAATTAGGCACTCAGAGGAGAAAATACTGCAACATTTAAGTAGGAGTATTTTTATGGAAAAAAAATTAAGTTATATTTGGAAGGTTGACTGGGTGTCTGGGGAGGGGGAGAAAGGAAAGACTTTCTATTGAATGCATCCCACAGAGATAGAGTTATATAGTCAGTAATTCACCCAGGCAGAAGGGCTCCGACCTTTGCTCCCCTTTAAAGGAATTAAGACAATTAATGACTTTCATGCCCATTATGACTATGGGCATTAGTAGTTCTCTGCCTTCTGCATTACAGTCTATATTTCAATGGTTCACTGTGGTTTTTTTACTTTACAGCTATTGCATACTATTTAATCTGATTTCCCAAATCCCACTTAAGAATCCAATAGCAAACCCAGAAAGCTTCTAACTTCTTTTATCTGTTTGTTATAAAAAAAAAATTCACTACAGGACAGATGCTTCATTCCCGCAAAAACAGGTAAAGCAAAGAAGAAGAAAATATGTTCCATTGTGTCTGCAGTGGTGCCTTCCTTGCTATGAATTTTCCTGAACACTGTTTAATACATATATATAAAACCACAAATGTAATATTTTGAGCTTATTGTAGGCTATTTGAATGATTTTTTTTAAGACAAAGAATACTTTAGGGTTTGTAAAAGAGGGATGATACTGCTAGTGATGCTGTAGTGCTCTGGTCTGATCCTGCAGATAACAAGATTGTCTCACATCTGTTGGTGGCTGAACCGGAGAAGATCTATGCCATGCCTGACCCTACTGTCCCCGACAGTGACATCAAAGCCCTCACTACACTGTGTGACTTAGCCGACCGAGAGTTGGTGGTTATCATTGGATGGGCGAAACATATTCCAGGTACATTTTCTGAAAATAAAAGAAAAAGAGAAAAGAAAAAGGTTGACATTAATTCCCTGGGTTTTATGTATGTATATAGATTTGGGCAAATTAATCATTTTCTCATAAGATTTTTTTTTGAACTTCCCATTTGTTTTTTATCACACTTAATTTAGAGCTTTGCCAATTTGATGAATAGAATCATAAGCCTTTATATATGTGTACCACCTTAAGCTCTCACTTATTTTTCATATATGAAGGTACTATTGGGAGTATAAGATAAAGAGAATTTAAGTCTTAAAAACGTAGTTTTATTGTTTTCAATTCTGAGCCTTTTCCTAAGGTAATGATTCTACTTTTTCTCTTCACTTTAAAAAATGTTATTGTCAGCATTATTCTAATTAACATTTTTTTCCTTTTAGGAATTACTTATTTTGTTTCTCATGGTGGCTATCTGCAATGAATTGCCCTTTCTGTTCATAAACTTGGGTTTACAATTAAATACTTACCAAGCATTTATATAGAAATTCTTAAAATAAATATTGAAGTGACATGGGAAATTTTTTCATRTGGCAATTTAAAGTTAGTATTTTAAAATATTCTATTATTTTTCTTTCTTGTCTTATCCAATAATGTCAGTAAACATGTACATGATCACAAGTTTTGAGAATTTCAGTATCCTACTTGAATTATTTTTTATTTGTTTGGACTTTGATCTTCAAATAGTTTATAAACAAGTTTTTGATGATGAACAATGTTTTTCTGGTACAGTTAACTTATTTCTGTCTCCTTAAACTAGTTTGTCTTTATGCTTTGAATGCTACAGTAATTTCTTTAATCAAATTGATGGAAGTCCCTTTCCCAGCCCACACTGAAACCAATTTATTGGTCATGATACGCCAGCTATGTTGCTAACAGTCGTAACGAACTGTCAGGCGATATCGCAGTGAAGCTAATTTGAAGTCATTAGGTGTGCAGCGTTCAGGCGACAATTTGTTACAGTGGTTAGGAACACAGCTGACATTTCTGAATGGCTTTGTTCAGTGTAGTTCTAGATGAGGCCAAGCAAATTGTAAACTAATTTAAACATCACTCTGTATTATACCAGCTACTTTGTCTTACACTGTTTGCTAATAAAGCACCCCAAATTAAGTCAAAACTAGTTAAATAGGTGAGCTGGAGTGTATTCTTTAGAAAAATGCCCATGCAGGCATTAGTATATCTATAAGAAAGCTAAGAATTTGATAATGTGGATAAGTGATAGTGCATTTGGATTGTAACTATGTCAATCATACAAAAATTTAAAAAAGAAGAAATTTACTAAAAGATATTAAAATATTTGGTTACCGTGATAATGGGAATATCCAGAATTTGCAAAACAGGACATGAAAACTTGTTTTGAAGGCAATTGTTATTGAAGGGTTTTATAGTAGAAGCAAAACTAACATCTGTTGCAGCATCCTTAGACATTTCACATAATCACATAATCAATATGATTTATATTAATATATWGCGTATCACTATTACATACATGTACCCATGCATATACACACTTACAAATATATGTGTTTATAATAAAATTATTCTACTTCAGAGTTTTTCAGCCTTGGTACTATTCATATTTGGGACTAGATAATCCTTTTGTAGGCAGTTGTCCTGTTCATTATAAGATGTTTAGTGGCATCCTTGGCCTCCACCCACTAGATGCCAGTGGCACCCCCTAATGAAAATGTCCTCAGACATTGCCACATGTCTTCACAGGGATAAAASTACACCAGCCTATCCCTCCTTCCCACAAATGAACCATTGTTCTAACCCAGGAATCATGTATGATTATCATCATTTCAAAGACAGATTTGAGGCAGAAAAGTAAAAAAAACACTTGCATAAGTTCATCAACATATCCAGTGCCTTCAAAACATATATTCAGCATTGCTTCCTGGGATAGAATTAGGATATTTTAGCCTCCAAGTTGATTGCATTTGAAAAAACTATTTCAAAATATTTAGGATGATAGTATTATTATTGTTAGTGTCAGGAACATGAAGGGGTATGTCACTATGAGTCCAGACCACATATTWCTTCTGCAAACTTTGCTCAAGTCTCCCTGAAACAAGGGATTTTTCAAGCCAGTATTTTGATTTCATCCAGACATGTTATAGTAAARACTACTAAAAGTTAACAACTTCTTCCAAACCTTCTGGAAAGGAAAAGTCAGTGATAAACTTTCAGGTCTGGTTGTGCATCTAAGTAGAAACGTCAGCTTATAAAGGAACTTATTAAAGTAATGGGGCTCTAGTGACTTTTGAAAAGATGGTAACTTTAAATAACTCTGAGTAACACTATTTTCAGTGGTGGAAACAATTACTATACGATTATGYGCTCAGTCATAAGCTGAGGCTTAGAGTTGGTGGGGACTGACGTTATTCTCTCTCCATGGCAAATGCCAGAGGAGGTCACTGTGGAGTGATGATTCACAGCTCTGATTTTCGTAATACCCTGAGGGTATTTTAAATGATTGCAAGGAATATCTTGCTTTTCAGAAGGGGATTAGCAAAACAGGAGTTAAACAAAATTCTTTTTAATTTTTTTAATGCATGTACCATCCAGTGTTTTGAGGTGGTAGAGAGGKTGCTCAGCCCTCAAAATATGCTGGTTTACCCTGGCTTCATGACAACAGAAAACGACACAGAGGTATRTAGAGCACTGGACAGGGAGGTAAAAGCAAAGAGAACATAAAGAATGAAGTCACATTTCTGCCTTGATACAAGTAAAATCATGTTCTTGACACATGAACCAGTCTTGATAAGTTAGGTAAGAGTCAGAATTAAAGACTAGTCAGAACTGAAATTTCCCATCTTAGTTTTAACTCCACAACTCATTGTTTTTATAAAGCTTACATTAAAAGGAAAGCAAACTCTTTTTTAAAAATAAACTAAAATTTGAGTCTTTGTTTTCTTTCAGCTGCTCTCGGCTTGTGTATGCACACACATACTCTCTTAAGTTTAGCATCTCAGATCAGATCAGTAGCCCTTCTGACTGCTAAGAATGAGCTTTTGTACACTTGCTTTTGCTACAGAAAAAGTGAAGAATTCAACAAAAGAAAACATTGAAGAAAAATACATATGGAGTGGGGTTTTTTTATCAGTAAATAGAATTAGTTGACTTACATTAATAAATCACATAAATGGGAAAGTGTGTTGTTATGAAACATGACCGTACTTTATCTATAGAAGAAAAAAGATCACAAGGGCTTTAGAAAATGCTTGACTTTAGCTGGAGGAGCATAAGGGCACAAGAACAGATGATGGTGCCCTAATAGCCCTTTTTAAGAATGACAGGGCCCCGCCATTAGCATCCTTTTATATCCTTGGAAATTGCTCATGCCTCGCTTTTCTGGTTCCTATCTGCCTGACTCTTTTTTATTTCTCTTTCAATTTCGTCCGCGCTCGGATAAGCGCATGCTAACACAATATGATTGAGCTGTAAAATGGAACGCTGTCGCCTCTAATCTCTTTTATGTAGATACGGAGGTACTGCACACTCGACTTCATTCTCTCCCCATTGTTGGCCTTTTTTAGAATGGGTTGCCAAGTAATGGAGGCTCTGTCAAATATTAGAGCTAGGTTTCACAGGATGTGATAAGACGATTACCAGCCCAACAGACAGATCTATTATTGTTCTTGGTGGTTGATTAAAATATTATTATGTGCTGGAACTTTGTTAACAAAATGCAGAAATGTGCTTAGTCAGATGGTGTTTTATTAAAAAAAAAATGCGTAACCCATATTAGCTGACCTATATAAGTGGCTTAAGTGTATTTACAGATCTTGTCAGCTTACTTTAAAAGAACAGAAAGGTATTTGAACAGTTAAATAAATGGATGTGTTTTAGTTTTTTTTTTTCCTTTTTCAATGTAGTAAATGTTCAGACTGACTTATTTATTTTTAACGTGACAAATTCAACAGTGACCTAGTCATGAAAAAGGACTTAGCTCAAATTTGGGGACCTCTTATTCACATTATTAAAAGAATGCCTATTATGATGCATTAAACAGGAAAAGAAAAACCTATAATTTTCTTCATATCAAGTGGAGGTAGGAGATATTAAGCTCTAAAAGAAAACCACACTATTAAGATGATGTTATAAAATAGTCTTTAAGTATATTTCTTCATGTAAGAAACAGAAAGCTAAACTATAGGAACCAATATTTTCCATTTACCCTGAAACACGTTTTTTTTTTTGTAAAAACATGCAGTTATAAGAATGTATCAAAAATGACTCATTGGCTTGTCTTTTTTATAATTTTCTCAGAAAAAGAATTTAGACTTGCCTACAATGATGGAAATCTGTAAAGAGTATTAATTAAACTCTCTGTTAGGGCATAAGTTTTTCAAAAGAATAACTAAGAATATTTGGACAATTATTGCTAATGGTACTGTTTGGAGTTATACTTATTGTTCAAACAAGTTTTATGTACAGGCCAAATTTTAACACCACATTCTTTCCCAAGTTAAGTTATAAAAGTTTCACTTTAGTAATACATATTGCTAGATATTAGTGTATGAAATGCCCATCTTAAGCTACTTGTAGCATCATTAAGTGGTTAGGATGTACAAAAGCACATGAAATAGGGCAGAAATAATTACCATAAGATTATATTCCCATTTGTAATTGAAAGTATATTTCCATGTGTTTCACAAGGGATTATCGTTTGATGGATAASAAGCAGGGCTTGGTTGACTAACGATGAATCACACACCATAAGCAAGTAGCATGTAGGACTGGGGTTGTGACTCAGTGGTAGAGCACTTGCCTAGCACGCGTGAGGCACTGGGTTCAATCCTCAGCACCACATAAAAATAAATAGAATAAAGTCATTGTGTCCATCTACACCTAAAGAAAAAAAAATTTTAAAAAGTAGCATCTGATAGTTTATTTTGAATTTCTATTATTGGAACTTGGTAAATGTGTATTAATTAATTGATTTAAAAATTTTGTTGAACTAAACTTTAATTGCT